CGGGAAGAATCTGACGTGTCACTGTCTACCAACTTCTTCCTATCTCCCTTTCTTTCTATTCTTCTACCCTTCTCTGAGTTGTCTATGGTTTGTGACACATGGTCGTCGTTGAAAGGTGTTTTGAGTAGACTAGTTAGGCCGCTGACGGCCGACGTCTGGGTATTCTTGGTGATAATGATGCTTGCGTGTGATGCCTACGCTATTGCGTACTTACCATCAACTTAACGTTGGAACCACCGTAGTAATTGAACTACGTGTGTGTGAATTGTGACTTGCGTCATTTCTTGAGCCTAAATATCAGGACGGTTATCATATTTCTTTTTTCTATTTTGGTCGTTGTTGACTTTAGAAACGATGGCAGGTGTGCCAGTTAATCAAGGATGCTTCACGTGTGGATCTATCCACCACTGGAATCGAGATTGTCCACGCAGATCTTACACTTTCCAACCACCCGCTACGGGTGCTAACGCTATTCCTACTTCAACTCCTCTGCTTCCTGCGCCTAGCACGGCCCCGGCTCCCGCGGTTCCAACCGCTGCCGCAACGGCTCCCGCCATCAACCCTTCTGTTGGCTACCAACAGCGTCCGAGAGTGAATTGGTGGAAAGAAAACCAAGAGCGGTTGGATCGGGTGTATAACAAATTCGTGGAAGACGCGGATAAGGAAAGGAAACGTCAGGAGCAGGAGGAGAAGGATAGGGTGAGGCAAGAGGAGGAAACGAAACGGAGTGAGTGGAAAAAGGAAAGGGAGCAGTTGGAAGCAGAAATGTCTGCTCGGTTGGACAAACGGTTTGAAGAGCTGGGTCTGAAGAAGAACGCAGCGCAAGCGGCAACGATTCAAACGGATGAAGTCGCACGATTGAAGAGAGAAAATGAAGAGCTATTAAGGAAGATCAACGGAACAATTAATAGTTACGGAAGGGGAGATGAGATGGCACGACTGAAGCGAGAGAATGATGAATTGAGGAAGCGACTGAATGGGGAAGGTCCTAGTCAGAGAGACGGAGATTGCATTTCTCGGCTCCAGAAGGAAATATGCGAGCTACACATGCAAGTGGGTAGCAAACAGGTGGATAATGACGAAATTTACGTGTTAAAGCAAGAGATGGGGGAATTAAAGCAGTCTACATATATGAAGACGAACTTTGAACAGGAAATAGCTGGTCTGCGCAAGGAGGTGGACTCGCTACGAAGAACGAACGAGAAGACGAAGGAGGAAACCAAGCAATGGAAGAATGAAGCCTTAAGATCTGGGAACAAACGGGGGAGTTTGGCGGTTGGCACACCGGGAACTTCCGAGCGTGGAAACCCGAAGCCGAGATGGATTGAAAGTATGAAGGACGATAGTAAATGGAGAGAGGAGTATAAGAAACTACAAGGGCTGCATCGACTGGCGAATGTTGAAGCTGAACTTCTCAAAGAAAAGCGAGCAGCCGCTGAGGCGAAACGGATGGAAGCCGAGAAACAAGTGAAGAATTTGAAAGAGAAGATGAGCCGGTTGAAGGCAGCGGAGACCGGGAACGAAGAGGAGGGCGGTGGCACCAATCTCAAAGATCGTTTAGAAGCTGTGGCACTGGGGTCAGCACGAAGGGGAAGAACAGCCACGCCTGTAAGAGGCTCCACGAAGGAAGATCAAACGACGAACGAGGTGAATGATCGTTTCCAGTTTATCGAAGAGCGGAAGAAACAGTTACGGAATTTGAAGAAATCGGGTTTGGAGCCGTTGTGTAAGGAAGCTGGGATCCGTACAGGTGAGGTGGAACAAATGGTCTGCGAGCTCGCAGAATACCGGGCCGAACAAGCATTTGGTGCGACACGGGGCAAGGACCCGTCCTCTAAAGGTAAGCAGTCGGTATACGAAGTAGAGGATGATACAGAACAGAGGGAGACCAACACCTCTGAGGAATGCGATGATAAGTCAGTGGAGTTATGAGGTGAGTCCCCGGACGTGGCTAAGTTATGGTTGCTTACCAACGACTGTCGGAAGAAGCGTGAAGGAGTGGGTTTGTTGCCGTGTAGATCTTCTGTTCCAGACAAAGGCGGCCAGATCCAAGATTCTGGGTTTCCTTCCTCTTGCCTCAATGCTCCCTATGCCTTGATTCCCTCAGGGGTTCATTCCTCCTCCTCTTCCTCTATTATTCCCTCTTCTCCCTCGGCTTCCTCTTCTTCTTCTTCTTCCTCTTCTTCTTCTTCTTCTTCTTCTACTTCTCCTTCCTCTTTATGCTCTACTTCTCTCTACTTGCCACCATGCAAGGCACTCTCTGCTACAATACCAGCTCTTTCTGATGATTCGACTTACTTCCTACGTGACAAAGCGTACAATGGATATTTTCGGTTGTTAGTGATAGGACTCATTCTGAAGGGGCAGATTCCTTGGGCGGATAAGATTAAGGAATATTTGTTGGAATTGGTGGTTAGCGGTTATGATTTTGAGAAATGCAAAGGACCGTTGGTGTATGTTCTCGTATCTCCCTGGGCACGACATATGTATGTGGGCTCCACAGCACGGGATTTACCGGTAAGATGGGGGGAACACGTATATAGAGCGTTGAGTCAGGGGAATATCGAGGGGGGTCATCGTAACCACAAGTTATACACATGGCTGAGACGGGGGAGGATCGGGGATTATGTGGCGCTACCGTTGTTTCGGTGCGATTTGCCGGATCTCTTGCATTTAGAGAGTTACGTTGCTAAATTACTTTGTCCTTACCTCAACAGCCGAGAGGTGGTTGGAAGAAGAAGGAAACGAAGTCGGAAGGGTAAGAAGGAAAGGTTGAGATTGAAGAGAAACAAGAAGGAATTGGATTGTACGTTGTCCAATACTTCACGAACTCACATGGTCTTCTATCCTACTGTCGGTAACAAGTCTGCCCGATTGTCCTCCATTCTTGAACAATGTCTCTCTATGCGTATTTCGTCGGTGGGTATTCTGTGTACCGGGGGTGATCGAATTGCGGAGGACTGGAAGGTTCTGAAAAGGAGGTTTGGCTTGTCTTTGATTACGGTCGACGGACTCACGGAGCTTCTGAAGAAAGGAAAAGGGATGCTGAAGCCCGACAGATATGTCTACGTTTCTATGATTGTCCCTTTCATGTGCAAATCATTAATTTTGAAACCTTCTCTAGCCGCTTTGCTTTCTAACCCCGCTTCCAGGAAAGAACTATGTTCTTGGGATTTCTCAGTCCTTGTTAATGCCTTTTCAGGTATCCGATGTTTTTCAGAAAAAAAAGAGTCGTTTCTTACTCAGATTGATCCTTTCCGGTGTCATCAAACGGAAGTTCGGTTGCAGCATCAGACAAAGGTTGGTGGTTAAGGTGACCTACGATCTGTCTTTGAGTAAGCCTGAGATTCGCTCCCTCTGTTCGCGACTGGTTATGAGTATCGAAGGAAATGAAGATTGGAAGAGAATGGTAGTATGAAGAATGAGGGTGGTTTGGAAGAAGAACAAAAGCGTGGGAGATATTTTGTTCAATTTTCAGAAATTTGCCCGGGATAATGATGTGATGTGTGTCTGCTCTGAGATGGGTGATGAATTTCCTCGAATGAACGGCCATGTTTGCTTTCGTTTGAATGATCTGACCAATGCACCATGTTGGCTACGAAACAACAGAAATGTCACCCGGCCGTCTAGTATGAACGTTATAGGTCGTCTGAAGAAAGAGATCGGCCGATCGTTTGACGAGATGGATTTCGCAGGTCCGCTGTTGCGAAAGAGTGAGCTGGTTGGCTGTACTAAGGAGGTACGAGAGTGCAACGTTGACTGCCGCTCGAAGGATGAAGTGTTTCGATGGAAGGAGATTCTGAAGGGCCTGGTAATGGTACCTATTGACCATAATCCAGGGGACACGCTTGCATGCTGTCCGGCACGATATCGCGAAGGCATGGACACATTATTTTTGAAGAACCCTGGTTTTAGCATCTGTGATAGAGAGGAATGTTCAGTGCTAAGTGAGGCTAGAGAAGTCTACATGGAGAATGGGCTGCATCGCTTAGCCAGATGGGACCCTAAGGGTGATTTGGGAAAAGCGTATGCTATCCCTAAACATAAGGATGTCTTGAGGTGGCGTCCGATTTGCCCATCCTTTTCGGAGTGCAATGTTCGTGCATGCAGGAAAGTGTCAAGATGTGTCAATGTGATGACATGGTGTTTACCTTGCCGGTCGAATTTTAACATGAAGAGTACAGACTTACTGGTTGCATCTCTTGGGGAGGTAAATAAGGACTTGAGAAGGAACGAGGAATGGCTTACAGCAGCTTTCGACATCAAAGAAATGTTCTGCAACTTACCACATGGCTCGATCATGAAGGCGCTATGCTGGATTGTGGATTTCTGGGAGAAACAAGGGGTGAACAGTGTTTTGCTTAAAAGTCGTGGGAAGGAAGGGAAGCTGCAAACTGGGAAGAAGCAAGAAGGGTGGCAGTCTGTTGGTTTCGATCTCATCAAAGGTTTTGTGGATTTTGATTTGCAACACACTTACACCTCTGCGTGCAATCTGATTCTGAAGCAGGAGGTGGGCATACCTATGGGCAAACCCTCTAGTCCAGCTGTGGCTTGTCTTCTCTGTGCTTTTGCTGAATTTTCCTTTCTTGTATCTTTGGGCAATGATCGCCGACTGATTCACGGCATTCGTCTGATAGATGATGTCTCTGTGTTTGTTAGATACTCGAAAGATGACAAGGACTCTGAGGCGAAGGCAAAGGATATTATTAGGAGGTTCGAGAATTGCTATGACTGCAATTTGAAGGTGGAATGCACGAGCAGATCGAATCAATGGGATTTCCTAGGTTGTACTATCAACAATCTGGGATGGCCTATGGGGATTAGAAGTGCAGCAGTGCATAAGAACCAGAAGGTGATCATGTCGGAAGGGATCTGTTTCCAGAGTATCCAGGACAACTGCTCCTTTGTGAGTAAGCAACGGAAAATTGTAGTGGTTGGTTCATTCATGCATCGGGCGAAGAGGTTTACAAGTATGCCTATGGCTGAGGCAAGCTTTCTTCTCAAGCTGAAGGTGGAACTGAGGATGCGGGACTTTAAGGATGAGATTTTTTATCAAGCTTTGACTAACTCCTCACTCAAATTCGGCGGCATCTGGGATGATTGGGTCTACTGCTTTACTGGGTGGGACCGCCTCTTCAGATAGTAGGGGGCACTTGTTGTAGCTCTCTATGGGTTCTACCGTACACTGCTAAGTTCTGATGGTAGGGGGCACTTGTGCAGCTCTCTATGGGTTCTGCCGTACACTGCTCGGGCCTGCTAGGTTCTGATGGTAGGGGGCTTTCGCTTTACCTCTCTATGGGTTCTACTGTATCCCCCCTGCTGAGTGACATGGTTTCAAATCGGTGACTTTCTGGTTTCGGCTGAGCTTTCTGTGTTTGTTTTTTCGTAATGGTAGTATGTGTTGAATTTGTTTTTCACATTTTTTATTTTCTATTTTTTATTTTGTAGGGCTCGGTGCCTATGGATTGAATATCTTCTCTTCCAACCGGTTTCGATCTGATGTTTATCTGGGCCCCGTTCTTTCTTTCTTTTCCTTTTTAACACGCGACTCTACGATGGGCTTGGGTTTCTCGATGCTGGGTTACTCTTCTGCCTTTAAG